GCAGGTCCAGCACCTCCAGCAGCCCCAGTACCCTCAGCAGCTCCAGCACCGCCAGCACCTCTAGCAGCTCCAGTACCTCCAGCAGCTCCAGCACCCTCTGCAGCTCCAGTACCCTCAGTCACAACACCGCCAGCCCCAGCAGCTCCAGTACCCTCAGTACGAGCACCCCCGGGACCAGCGACACCAGCAGAAGAACCCCCAGCAGTAGAGCCCTGAGGTGCAGAAGCGCGACGCTGACGGCGACCGTACCAGTCGTGCAGCTGCTGGGAGGTGAGGGGCACACGCGGACGAAGACGGCTACTCCAAGGAGACCGCGTAAAATTAGTCTCAGAACCCGCAGGCGACTCACCCCCAGACTCAGCACCCCCAGACGCAGCACCCCCAGACGCAGCACCTCCAGACGCAGCACCTCCTGGCTCCTCACGCGCAGGCTCAGCACCTCCAGGCTCCACACGCTCAGCGCCCCCAGACTCAACACCCCCAAGCTCCGCACCCCCAGGGACAGCACCACTCCCAGCAGGACCGGAGTCACCAGTGACCTCAACAGGCGCAGGCGCGGGGGGGTCTACCTGAGAGACACCTGAAGGAGCAGGACCTGGCGCGGGGAGGGGGTCTACCTGGGGAGGACCTGGGGCGAGAAAGAGCGGCGGGAGAGGGCGAGGCACAGTGCGGTAGGGGAAGAGGCGGTAAAAGGGGACCGACTCGTCAAAAGTGACGTCCTGAGACGCAAAGACACGGCGCGAGGCGGGGTCGTAAAACTGCCAGCCAGGCGCGTCAGGGACAAAGCCAAGGAAGACGCAAGGAATGGCGCGAGGGGAGAGCTTGTCCGCGGTGGTAACGCGGACAAAGGCACGAGCACCCCAGACCCGGAAACGCGACGCATCACCAACGTTCCCTGTCCACAGCAGTGTGGGCGAGGTCTCCGGCAAGGAGACACGGGGCCAAAGGTTGAGCTGATGCGCGGCGTACCGGACCGCAAACGGCCACAGAAAATGGGGGGCAGCCGCATGGATCATGGAGGTACGAGCGACCTCCATGACTAAGCCAATGCGGCGCTCAGCAACCCCATTCTGCTGCGGAGAGGCCGGAAGCGTGAATGTCTGGCGGATGCCGTGCTCCGCACAGAAGGCTGCCAAGAGGTCTGAGGAGAACTCACCACCTCGGTCAGAGTGCAGACGCAGGACAGGAAAGTCCGACTGGAACCGCTCGCGGAGCTGGAGACGAGCAGCGCGGATCCAGGGGATCAGAACAGCAGGGACATCCCCCTTGCGCTGCAAGGGGAAGACCGTGGTGTAACGCGTGTAGTCGTCGACAACCAGCAGGAAGTACCGCTCGTGGCCCTGTCCACGGACGCGGGCTGGGCCCCACACGTCCAGGTGGAGAGTCTGCAGTGGAGCCTCTATGGGAGGGAACGAGGAGGAGTGAGGAGCGGCGCGCTGCTGCCCCTCGACGCAAGGAATGCAGGGCGGCGCAGGCGAGGGAGGGAGGGCAGGCAGAGACCTGGGAAGACCAGAGACCAGGAAGCGAGAGTGCATGCTACGAAGGCGAGGCAGGGAGGGGTGACCAAGGCGGTGGTGCCATAGGAGAGTGTCGTGCGACAGCCGGCGACACTCACACTGTGTAGCTACCTGAGCAGACGCATGTAACTGGGGAGACAAAGGGGCGGAGCGCGACGCAGTGGTGAGGGTGTACAGACTGGAACCTGGCGCACGAGTGAACGTGGCCAGGTGACAACCAGTCTGGGAGCACGTGCAAATCGCCACACGCTGCCGGCCAGGGGTGAAGGTGTCAACCCCCGCATCCTGGAGGACAGCGTTACTCACCAAGTTCGTAGAGAACGAGGGGAGGTGGAGACCAGACAGCTCACCAGACGGGACCGCCGGACACGGAAGCACAGTGGAAGACCGTGCAAGCACTGGGCCCCCAGAGGGGTCAGCCAGTGAGACAGGAACAGGTGCAGGGAGGGGAGTGACTGTGGTACTGTCGCGAAAGAAACAGCGGGAAGCACCAGAGTCAAGTGTAAAGGTGTGCAAGGCCTGTGCAGGCGCAGTACCAAGGGGAGCAGACTCACAAGCACCTAGTGCTGCAGGGGCTATACCAGGGGCTATACCAGGATCCGGCGGCACACACAAGTAGCAGTCACCCTCAGCACTAACAGACAATACATACATAGCAGCAAGAATTGCCTCATAGTCAAGATCAAAGATAGGTACATCACGGCTAAGCAAGTCTGCCCAGTTGGGGAACTCAGTAGCATCAGGAAACTTGGCGCGCCAGGCGTTGCTAAGCCGAGCGAAGCAGCGCTGCTCAGTGTGAAAACCTGTGCGCTGGCGACCAGCGCGGGGACCTGTGCGGATGATATAGGGGCAGCGACTAGGACCCCCAGAAGCCCCACGCCCAGCATACCAGTCAAGAAGCTGCTGGGAAGTGGGGGTCTGGCGCTGACGCTGTTGCTGCTGCTGCTGCTGCTGCTGCGGCTGCTGCTGGCCCTGACCACCACTGCCACCACCGCTCCCTCCTCCCCCACCGCCGCTGCTGCCCCCTCCACCGCTCCCAGTGCCTCCGCCGCCCCCACCACCACCTCCACCGCCTCCACCCCCACGACCACCCCCACCACCTCCACCTCCCCCGCCGCCTGCACCACCGCCACCTCCACCGCCACCCCCACTGCCCCTTCCACCCCTGCCGCCCCTGCCGCTGCGACGCTTCCCACTAGGAGCGGAAGCAGCCCCGACCTCCTCAGCACCAAGGTAGTCGTGAGCAGCAGCTGCGGAGGCGTAGGAGGGGGTGAGAGGGGAGGGGGAGCACCCCTCAAAGAGGGGAGAGCGAGGAGTGCCACGAGCAGCACCTACAGCGAGGATGTTCTTCTCTGCTGCGAGGAGGTGCTTCTCGAAGTCGTCGACAGTGAGAGTGGTGGGGTCTAGTGCTAGGAAGTGGTCCCTGACAGAGCTAAGAGTGTCAAGGAGGCGGGTGACGAGGAAATAGAGAGTGAAGTACATCGGGGGGGGGGGGGGTTTGCGGCGCAGAACTCGGCTGAAAGGGCGACATGAAAGCGAGTGTCAGTAGCGTGCAGGTGGGAAATGAGGTCCTCAGCAGTGGTGAACGAGGAAAGGTCGGGGAACAGGTAGGGTAGCATGAGCCGACCTATGGCTGCAGTGGCCGGGGAGGAGTAGCGCGCAACTACAGCGTCGTACAGCTTCTTAGCAGTTTTGTGCTGGCTGAAATGCGCGCGCTCAGTAATCGGCAGATGGTTCCTAATAGCTAGGCGTGCAGCAGCATCGCGAGTCTGCCACTGCGAGCGTTCGAGAGCAGGAGCATCGGCAGCAGGAGCAACGGCAGTGCCAGACACGTAATCGAACAGTGAAACGCCCTCTTTGGCATCGGTCAGAAGGAACAGTTGGAGGTCGTCTAACCACACAGCGAACTCTATGGGGCGACCGTCAGGCTCGAACGCGAGAACGTTAGGCGTCGTCATAACGGCAGCAGGCAAAGGCAGTAGGCAGCAGACAGGAGGCAGTAGGTAGCAGGCCGCAGGCAAAGACAGAGACAGCAGGCAGTAGACAGGAGGCAGCAGGCAGTAGACCGCAGGCTAAGACAGAGGCAGCAGGCAGCAAGCAACACAGGCAACTTGCAGGGCAGTAGCTTGCCGCACTCAAGCTCCTAAGGCGGCGTGCTAGACAGCAGCAGGCCGTGCGCTTTCTAAGGCAGCGGGCTAGGCAGCAGCAGGCCGCGCAGGCAGGCACACGAGCAGGGCACGCACGGCTGCTGGCTGCGTGCGGCTGAGGGCTGCGCGCGGCTGCTGGCTGCGCGTGGAAACGGGCTGCGTGCGGCTCCTGGCTGCGCGTGGCGACGGGCTGCGCGCGGCTCATGGCTGCGCATGGCGACAGGCTGCGCGCGGCTGCGGGCTGCGTGCGGCGGCGGGCTGCGCGGGCGTGGCCTAAGCAGGCTGCGCACGGGCGGCGTAAGGGGCGCGCGGGCGGGGCCTAAACGGGCTGCGCGGGCGGGGCCTAAACGGGCCGCGTGGGCTGCTTAAGAGGCGCGCGGAAAAAAAAAGGGCCGTGCGCGTGCAGCCAAGGCGCGCGCGGGCAGTAGGCAAGGCAGGTGAGGTAATATGGTAACCGGTGGGCCCTAATCCTAGGTCCTAAGGACCTATGCTCTAGATGCCATGTTAAACTCTTAGGCAAGGGATGATTACAACTATCGAGAGTGTTGGTACAAAAGGAAAACTAAGGGGTTGTACCCCACAGTGAGTACCCCACTAAAGCCTACCTAAACTATAACATATAAACATATGTTTGACAGTGGGGAGGGGGGGGGGGGGAGAGGAGGATGAAGGGGGGAGGGCGAGGGGTGGGTGGGAATGAAACAGGATTGATTCATAGAGTGTCACCTGTTGGAAACATAAAGCTCGCGCTTCTGATGTATCGAACACTACAATGTAAGCGAAGTGAACTACAACGAAGCAACAGCGAGTCCACCAAAGCGGTTGACTGAAAGACAACAGCAAGAGGTTAAGTGAAGGTCAAAGATCAGCAACCTTTGACTCGCCGAAAAGCAGCGCGACAGCAAGGACACATAACTGACTCGCTATTGAGCAGTTACCCGAGTCGTCGTTGTATCGAACCGCAACAGCAGTTATAGTTAGTTAAACCTTTCATATTCCTTGTAATCATATAAAGCCCTGTATCTCTTTGCTATTATCAACTCGTCTTGTTCTCACATACCAGTGCAAGGTGGTTCAACCAGTTCACTAAATACGCTTCTGCCAATACATCACTATTCTGAGCCTTAGACTTGAAAACGATCATAAGGGCTTTTCTCAACCCAACATCACCTTTTGACAAAGAGTGGAAAAGAGATACAAGTGGACCTGCCGTGGTGGAGAGGGACGGGTGCACTCAGCTTGGTGTACAGGGGGACGGCAAGCAGCAATTATCCATCCATCCCATGCCACCACACCCCACTGCAACATACCGCACCCCACCGCAGCCCGGCCTGCCATGCAAGGAAGTGGCACCCATAGAAGGCAGCGCCGTCTCCTGTTCGGTGGAACACCACAGCCTGCTGACCCTCCCCCCTGCCTCGCTGCCTGCCTCCCTGCCGCGCTCTCAAAGCCCACGCCCACCGCTGCAACGCCAGACGCGTCTACCGCTGAGAGAGGAGAGGGGAGGGAGAAAAGAACAGTGAGAGGAGAGGTGGAGAGAGGGGAGGCGGGGAAGTAGAGGAGGGGGGAAGTGAGAGGAGGGGGGGAGTGAGAGGAGAGGGGGAGCGAGAGGAGAGGCGGAGGGAGAGGAGGAGGGGAGAGGAAAGGCGAGAAAGCACATCAGCGCGGCACTCTACGTACCCCATCCTTTCACATCCCAATGCGTTCACAACCGCTATCTCTTATTCCCCATCCTACGCCCCAGCCCCGCCCCCCTTTCTTCCCCTTTCTCTCTTGCTATCCCCACACCTCTTCCAACCCCACCCACCCAGCACGCACCTGCACGTGCGGCAGTCCCCAGCGCCGTCCCAAGCCACAGCCACCGTCGGCGTGATGCGCGGGGCGTTGCCGCCAGGAGCGGCAGGGATGCTGCGGGGGCACGGGTTGAATTTTGAGTCGACTCAAAAGTCAGCGGCAGGGGTGCGGGGGCACCGGTTGCTGAAGCGACAGGAGCGGTACCATCTGCTGCACGGGGAGAGGCTGTCCGGTGGTAGTCAGCGGGTTCCTTGAGTGAATAGAGGGGCTCCAGTCGCTCACACGGAGAGGGGAGTCCTCTGCTGCAGCGGTGTGAGGTGAGGCTTCCCAGTTGCTGATGTGAGCAGAGGGTCGGGGGTTTGTGCCACCACTAAGGGGTCGCAGGCTGCTGCAGCCATGGCTGCCCCCACCTGCCGCCCGCTGCAGCGCCGCCATCACTGCCCGCCTTGATCGCCCTGCTGCCCCCTGCCACCTGCACCCCACGCTCTCGCATGACCAGTCCAGGCTCAAGCAAGCGAATCAGAGAACGGTGGTGCAATGAATACACAACGGCTGTGCGGGCCGGGCAGCATGGTCGTACCACACAAGGCAGGCTTGAACTCGAGCATCGGTGAAGGCAAGAGGGCAGGTGAAGGCAAGAGGGCAGGTGAAGGCAAGAGGGCAGGTGAAGGCAAGAGGGCAGGTGCACGCGTGCCACGCCACCTGCGTGGCCTCGCCTCCCCTCGCCATGGCCCCTGCCGCCATGTCCACACTCACTCACTCACACGTGCTGTGCGCATCTGCCACGTGAGCCCCCAGCACACATTGGAGCGAACCAAGTCACACGGGTTGCACATGCTGCGCCCACCTGCTGCGCCCACCTGCTGCGCTCACCTGCTGCGCTCACGTGCCCACACAATCGCGCGAGAGGCTGTGCCATGCCACGTCTTTGGCAGACGTAATGCCTGTTAGCCCCCCCCACCCCTCCCTGTCCCTTCACCCCCTGTCCGCGCGCCCATCTGCAGTTTCGCCGCCACTGAGACCGCCACTGCCGCTCCGCGCCTTGACCGCCCGCGTATTGACTTCCCGCGCGCACATCCGCAACCTTCCCGCCCGCTTCGCTTCTACCTTCCGCAGCGTGCGCGCCGTTCCCGACAGCCCGTCCGCGTCGACAGCCGCGAGGTCGTCGTGGCGGCGGACATGACGCGGGAGGCGCGGAAGCCGCTGACGTGGAGAGTTGCTGCGCGGGGAGCGGATGGGGGGACGACGAAGCGGCGACTGGCGGCGGGTAGAGGAGGCGAGCTCGTTACTACGAAACAACACATGATGTGTCGTGACGGGCGGATTCTATTCCACGAACCAATTACGACACGCATCGTTTCTCCCGCCGTCGGCCCCCGCGGAGCATCATGCCGTCTCGCAACGGGCGGCGTCGCACGCCCATCCGCCGGCGAGACGATCGCGACTCGTTTAGAGACCTCATGGTTCAAGTGGGGAAAAAATTGCCTCGTGTTTCTTCAGAGTGAGCTGGAGTTGTCATGGGCAGTTGGGGGATTGCAATAAAGACGTGATGCAAGACGTCTGGTTACCAGGTGATAAGAGAAGTTTCTGCTACCCTGCCGAGGAAAATCACACAATCGCCGAGTTCGCGAGACAATCTGAAATCGACCTTCTCCGCAAAACGTTACAACCCTCGATCTTTCGTCAAACATTTAGCTGCTCGTCAGTCGTTTTGCGACCAGTCTGCTCCGATCTCTCTGCCTCCAACAGCTTCCGCTCATTCCGCCGTTTGATCTGTGCCGCTCTGGCCGACTTAGGTCCACCCTCGTTATCTGCTTATACCGGTTCCCTCCGCCCTGGTCCTGAGGCCCATCCAAGAAGCACGCCCCTTTAGGTCAGTGAGTAGTGATTGTGGTTGCAACAGCGCTCCTCGTCGCACCTCCGCCGTTCCGAAATGGCTGATAACGAACCTACCGGCGACGACGGCGACACTCGTCGCACTCCCGACGCGTCGCAGCCGCAGCCGAGCGACGACGTCGCCGGCGACGGAAACCCCGGCGACGACAATGCTGGCGACGACGACGACACTCCCGAGGGCCGTGCGACGCAGCTGAACATGTACCTGTCGGACGACGGCGACGTGCTCGACCTCACTGGTAACCAGCTCAAGGACCTCGCCGGCATTCCCCTCCCACCGACTCTCACCGATCTGGACCTCACCACCAACCGCCTCGCCGCGCTGGACCCGCGGATCGGCGACCTGGAGCGGTTGGAGAAGCTGTCGTTCCGACAGAACCTTATAACGGATGCGGCTGCAGCGGGGCTGAAGGATCTGAACCGGCTGACGTCACTGAAAGTGAGATTTCAGACCCCTGTCACCCCTAACCCTCATGGCTGTTGGCGCGGAGGGTGTGAATACGGAGGGTGTGAATGCGGAGGGTGTGAATACGGAGGGTGTGAATGCGGAGGGTGTGAATACGGAGGGTGTGAATGCGGAGGGTGTGAATGCGGAGGGTGTGAATGCGGAGGGTGTGAATGCGTGTGATCGGCAAGAAGCCAGTGCCCTCGCATTTCCCCCTCTCCCCACTCGTTCCTCTCTCCCCCCTCTCCACTCTCGCCCCTCTCCCCCCTCTCCATCCTCTCCTCTTCCCTCTCTTTCTTCTCCTTCTCTCTCACTCCCCCACGCCCTCTATCGCTCCACGCCCCTGCACGGTTGCACCTCTCCGCTCTGAATAAAATCCCACCCACTCTCCGCCACCTCTCTTCCCCCACCCCTCCTCCCACCCCTTGAGGAGCTCGTGCTGCGAGACGGCCTCTTAAAGTAAGATCGCTTTTCCCTCCTCTCTCCTCCCTCCCCTCCCTCTCCTCCCTCCCCTCCCTCCCCTCCCTCCCTTCCCTCTCCTCTCCCCAACCCCCAGGAGCTCGTACTGAGGGACAACCTCTTAAAGAAGGTGCCCCTCGTGTCCCCCCTCACCACGCTCTCGCTGCTGGACCTCTCCTACCATCACATCCACGCCATGCCGCCCCTCTCTCTCACCCTCCCACCCGCTCACCCTCCCATTCACCCACTCCCCCCACCCCCCTCAGGAGCTCGTGCTGAGGGACAATCTTCTCAAGAAAGTGCCCTGCGTCTCCCCCCTCACCGCGCTCTCCCTCCTCGACCTCTCCTACAACCACATCCACGCCATGGCGCCCCTCACCTCCTCCGCCCTCCCCGCTCTGCGCGAGCTGTATCTGGCGAACAACCGCATTGGACACATTGAGGCACTCGAAGGGTTCACGCAGCTGAGGCTGCTGGAGCTGGGGTCCAACAAGATCCGGGTGAGTGTGGGGCGGGGGGGGGAGGGGGTGGGGTTGGTTGGTTACATGCAGGGTGGGAAGGGGGTGAGGTTGGTTACATGCAGGGTGGGGAGGGGGTGGGGTTGGTTACATGCGGGGTGGGGAGGGGATGGGGTTGGTTACATGCGGGGTGGGGAGGGGGTGGGGTTGGTTACATGTGGGGAGGGGATGGGGTTGGTTACATGCGGGGGGGAGGAGGGGGTGGGGCTGGTTACATGCGGGGTGGGGTGGGGAGGGGGTGGGGTTGGTTACATGCGGGATGGGGAGGAGGTGGGGTTGGTTACATGCGGGGTGGGGAGAGGGTGGGGTTGGTTACATGCGGGGTGGGGAGGGGGGGCTGAGATGCAGTGAGGCAAGCTCAGGATGCAGTGAGGCAAGCTCAGGATGCAGTGAGGCAAGCTCAGGATGCAGTGAGGCAAGCTCAGGATGCAGTGAGGCAAGCTCAGGATGCAGTGAGTTGTAGCAAGGTGAGACAGGTCACCTCCAGTCCACCTTACCCCACCAGCTAAACGTGCGCGAGCTGTATCTACCTGGCCAACAACCGCATCGGGCACATTGAGGCACTGGAGGGCTTCACGCAGCTCAGGCTGCTGGAGTGGGTGGGTGGAGTTCAACAAGATTTGGGTGCGGTGGGGTGGGTGGGGATGAGGCACGGTCGAATGCGATGTGGATTAGTGAGTTGGGGTCAGCAAACAAAGTCAACTTGGTCTAGAAACCTCATTTCTCAAGCGAGGTCACGGCCTGAGGCTGCTGGGCGCACCACTGACCCAGGAATGGAGGTTCCTCTCATCCGCCCACCCCGCCCTCATTAATCAGCCTGCCCCCTCTCATGCTCTATCCATACAACCTGTCGTTCCTGACCGCATTGGAAGGGACTTTTGACTCTCACAAGCCCCTCGCCACGCCCGCCCGCCACTCGCGCTTTCGTTCCCCATACCCTGGCAGGATATGGAGAATTTATCGCACCTGTCGGCCCTGGAGGAGCTGTGGGTGGGGCGCAACAAGATCAGGGAGGTGCGCGTGGAGGGGCTGTCAGCGCTGGTGAAGATCAGCGTGCAGAGCAACCGCCTCACCTGCATGCGCGGACTCGAGGTGAGTAAGCGCCGCAAAATGCAGGTGCAGAGCGTGCAGAGGTGTGGCGAGAGCGTGCAGAGCAACCACCTGCCTCACCCCCCCGTTTCCCTGCCTGCGTGATGAGTCAATCTTCTGCAAGCAATGTAGCTGTTGCGGCGTCAGTGCGTAGATCCTTGCCTCTCTCACCAACCTTTATTCAACCTCGATAGCCCCCCCTCCCTTTGCTCCCCACTCCCACCACCACAACCACCAGTCGTGCACGCGCCTACAGGAGCTGTATCTGAGCAACAATGGCATCGGTGTGATGGAGGGATGCCCTCTCACCACTGCCACCCTCCGCCCTTCCCCCCTGTTCCCCACCCCCACCACCCCCACCGCCACCACCAGTCGTGCACGCGCCTACAGGAGCTGTATCTGAGCAACAATGGCATCAGCACCATGGAGGGACTAGAGGCGCTCTCCAACCTGCGCATCCTGGACCTTGCTGCTAACGCCATCACCCACGTGCAAGGACTGGACACACTCACCAGGTGGGCTCGTGTGTGTGTGTGCGAGTGTGTGAGTGTGCGAGTGTGTGTGTGTGCGAGTGTGTGTGTGTGCGAGTGTGCGAGTGTGCGAGTGTGCGTGGGTGCGAGTGTGCGAGTGTGCGTGTGTGCGAGTGTGCGTGTGTGCGAGTGTGCGAGTGTGTGCGAGTGTGCGAGTGTGGAGTGTGCGAGTGTGTGTGTGTGTGCGAGTGAGCGAGTGCACGAGTGTGTGTGTGTGTGTGTGTGTGTGTGCGAGTGTGCGAGTGCGAGTGTGCGAGTGTGCGAGTGTGTGTGAGTGTGCGAGTGTGTGTGTGTGTGCGAGTGTGCGAGTGCACGAGTGTGTGTGTGTGCGAGTGTGCGAGTGCACGAGTGTGTGTGTGTGTGTGAGTGTGCGAGTGTGCGAGCGTGTGTGTGCGAGTGTGCGAGTGTGAGAGTGCGAGTGTGCATCAGCAGCATGGAAGGACTTGAGGCGCTCACCAACCCACACCCCCCTATCGCTGCAGGCTGGAGGACCTGTGTGGCTGAACAACAACCGAATCGAGTCGTTGCACCCACTGCATCAGCCCTCATCCACCTCAGTCCCCTCGTCCTCGTCCCGCGCTCCCCATCGCGTGCCAGGTTGGAGGACCTGTGGCTGATCAACAACCGAATCGAGTTGCCTGCTCGGCCCTCATCCCCTCGAGCCCCTCATGCCCGTCACTGCTTCCGCCCTCATCTACCCCACTCCCCTCGTCCCTGGCTCCCCCTTGCCTCTGCAGCCTGGAGGACCTGTGGCTGAACGGCAACTGCATCGAGTCGCTCTCGCAGCTCATGGCCGCCCTGGACGTGCTTCCTTTCTTGCACTCACCACCTGCACTCACTGCCCCCATTCCCCCATCCATCACCCCATGCCCACGCCAGTCTCGAGGACCTGTGGCTGAACGACAACCGCATCGAGTCGCTCTCACAGCTCATGTCCGCTCTGGAGGGGCCCAAGGCGTCGCTTGTCACACTCTACCTCGAGCGCAACCCCTGTGTGAGTGGCGAGGCTGAGAGCGCAACCCCTGTGTGAGTGGCGAGGCTGAGAGCGCAACCCCTGTGTGAGTGGCGAGGCTGAGAGCGCAACCCCTGTGTGAGTGGCGAGGCTGAGAGCGCAACCCCTGTGTGAGTGGCGAGGCTGAGAGCGCAACCCCTGTGTGAGTGGCGAGGCTGAGAGCGCATATGACTGTACTAGTGGGCTGCCTGTGCTAGTGGGCTGCCTGTGCGAGTGCACCCTCAACATGCTAATGTATCAAATGGGGTGTATGCAGCTTCCTCTCCCTCTCATTCTTCACCCTCCCCCTCCTCATTCCCCTCATGCCTCCTTGGTGCATCGCCCTCTCACTGCACTCCCCTCTTCGCCCTCCATTCCCTACTTGGGTGCAGGCCAAGGAGGCAGGGTACATTGAGACCCTATGCCCTCTCCCCTCATCCCATCTTCCCCCCCTCTCTCTCTCCCCCTCTTCCATGCACCACTGCAAAGAAGCAAGGTACATTGAGGCCCAACCCCGCTCTCATCCCCCTCCCAGCTCCCCTCCCAGCTCCCCTCCCAGCTCCTCTCCCTTCAACACACACATGCATGCACTGCTGGCAGGCCAAGGAGGCAGGGTACATAGAGACCCTCGCCAAGATGCTGCCCAGGGCAGAGGAGATCGACTCCAAGCCCATTGAGACCGCAAGCCAAGCCCTCTCCTCTCCTCTCATCCCCTTCCCCCCTCTCCTTGAACACACATGCATGCACTGCTGGCAGGCCAAGGAGGCAGGGTACATAGAGACCCTCGCCAAGATGCTGCCCAGGGCAGAGGAGATCGACTCCAAGCCCGTCAGATGATCTGTGGCCTTTCCAGGCACTTGGATTGAATTGAAGTGCCAGGCACGGGCAATACCGTAAGAGAGGTGCTGGATAAGAGCATAGATGCTAGCATCCCATGTCAGTGATCTTCTCACCTTGCCCACATGCGGTAATATCAACCCTTATGGTACCGGTAGTCTTTTCGTGGATGAGCCTTAGGAGATGGCATCAACACTATGACTGTTCTGGTACAGAACATGTAGTCCTTTTGTGGACGGACGAGCCTTAGGAGTCAGCAGTACCTATAACAATCGTGCTGACATCTATGTTACTTACAACGTAACCCAATGCAGTTCTGGACATATGGAACTGTGAAATTGCAACAGCATATACACAGACTTGGATTACCACCCTTTCCAGGAAAGCAAAGAGACCATACAGCAGCGACAAGAAACTTCTCAGACAACCTTTCAGCCGCCTGTCAGCCGCCTGTAATGAACCAATGGTTGTGCTGTATGAGAGTGGCTGCAAAAGCAGCAGCTACACTCCAACGCTGAGCGTTGTGGGGTAGGGTTACAGCAGCGGCACAGTGCGAGGCAGGGTAGGGGTGTGACTGTCAGTACTTGTAGGGCTGCTGCTGCGATGGCAGGAGCTTGAAGCGTGACTTGCATGCCACCCTCTGCTTCGAGTACTTGTCGTCCGGGGAGAAGCGCGCTGGTGGGGGGAAAACAGGGTGGGGATGGGTGGGAATACATGCGGATGGGTGGGATTGAATGGGGGGTGGGTTGAAGAAGGTGGGGAGGGGTGGGGATGATGGCAGACCTGGCGCGCATGCCATCCTCTGCCTCCTTGTGTGAATGATTGTGGAGGGGTTGAAAACGGTGAAAAGGGCTGGGAGTGGGTGGGGATGGGTGAAGATGACGGGAGACCGCTACTCTCTTTCAACACGAAGTGCATGACACTCTCTGCTTCTGAGTACTTTTGAGCCCAAGAAAATCGTGTTGGTGGTGGGGAGCAGAGTAAGCGACCTGTGGGCTTACACAGTACAGCCAGACAGCAACCACTGTGCCAGGGGCGCTAGATTAGGACAACATGACTTGAAACGGCGACTGTTGTAGCGGCAAGAGCAGCAGAGCAGGAGCACGCTAGGGAGAAGAGACGGGGGACAAATCTACATGCAGCCGCGATGAGCTCGGCGGGCCGCGACCGCGGGAGCAGCGAGGGGGAGAGCAGAGAGGGGGAGAGCAGAGAGGGGGGGAGCAGCGAGCGGGGGAGCAGCGAGAGGCGGAGCAGAGAGGGGGGGGGGCGGCGATGGGGGGAGCAGCGAGAGGGGGAGGGGGGAGCGGCGAGGGGGGGAGCAGCGAAGGGGGGAGCAGCGAAGGGGGGAGTAGCGAAGGGGGGAGCAAGGGGAGGGGGGGGGGGGTGGAGTAGCGAGGGGGAGAGCAGCGCGGCGAAGAGCAGCGAAGGGGAGGGCAGCGAGGGGGAGGGCAGAGCACCGACCTGGGTGTGCGGATTGCGTGGGCTTGGAACCGTCGGGCTCCATTCTCTGCGCGCAGTCAGGGGCAAGCGCGGAAAAGGGTAAAAAAACAGCGCCATAAGCAACTTCTTTACGATTCTGAATGACCGATAGTACTAAGTAGCAGCGTTAGCATTAACGGCATCGTGTTTCCTTCGTGTCCCATCATGCCCCGTCATCCGACGCCGATAGTTGAGCATTTCCATGGTTGCTTCGACGGCGAAGCTGTAAACGATCACACTTTCGCCGAAACTTCTTAGCAGAACGACTTACCTGGAAAGTGTACACTTTCTTACCCTCGTCGTCAAGGTACACCTCAAGAAACGATTTTTGAGGCGCCTAAAAAACTGAGACGAATTTTTAGGCGCCTCAACACGCAGAGCGACTTACCTGGAGAGTGTAGATTTTCTTGCCCTCGTCGTCGATATACACCTGAAGAAACATGATGGCGGCTGCCTGCGCGAACTACCTCTCAAAATCGACGAACGCAGCAGCGACGTGGACGCAGCGCGAATTCTTGCCACAATATTCTACACGCAGCGAAAGGTCACGCAGCTGCTATTAGAGGTGGAGACGAAAAAATGGCGTGCAGAGATAAGGGTGTAGTGGGGTTTCCAGAAACAGAGGGCAGGTGGTTGTAAGGGGAGGGGGTTTTGTGCTGATTGCATGAGTTTGGGTAAGGGCGTGTTCAGCTTCAAATCCGAGAGGGACTCAGCCTTGGCGTCGGTGACTTTTACTGCGAGATGCGCCCGAAGCAGAAACTGGTGGATGTGGCCCATGCGAAGGCGTTTTAAGTTTTATTTATGGTCGTAACCGCGAAAAGCTCCGTTGCCGGGATTTGAAGCCAGGTATCCTAACCAGGCTGGACGACAACGGATGGCCACTGCGATGGAAGGAATATCACTGGGAAAGAAAGGAGCATTGCGATGACCAAAACCTACATTCAGCGAACAAGCTCGAACTTCTGCTGCTGCGAGGTTGGAGCCAATCAAGTGCTTGTCAAATTGTACATCATTGGCTATTGTTTTTCAATCTGACCTGTGGCAAGGTCTTCAGGCCTCCCTACCCCGCACCAAGGACACATATGGTTGACCAACCCTAACGGGCTTGAATTCGGTGTTTCGTGCACTCGCGGGCTGCTCGCATCACGGTTCACCACGAACACGAATGTGCAAGGAAGCTCTAGCCTAGGGTTTCAGCTTCGTTAGCATCGCTCTCAGCCTTTGATGACCGTTGCTGAACTAGGACCATGGGAGGGAGGGTCTGAAGCCTTAGGCAATTGCATCATCTCATCCACCAGGCCAAGTCACGGAGCATTTCGTCTGGTCATAGCTATGAAACGGGGAGGCTTCAACATAGGCGACAGCACAGCTCGGAGTGTACTCCATTGAAGGTTGCGGAAAGTGTTGAAGCTAGCGGAGGGACCAGGACGCGCATGACGTCTTGATCCCGTTTATTATATTGCTCATATACTCGGTCCTCGCTCGAATGGTGTGCATTTTCGAGTCGTGACGTAATGAGCCACACTGCCATATGTCCTGTAAAAGTTTCCTGATCGCGAGCTAGCGAGCATTGTATATCTGCTCACCGCTCTATTGATACAACCGCTTAGTCAGTCAATGTGAGAGATCCTTGCGTCCCAGCCATGGCTCTCACACGAGTGTCTGAGGCGCATTTCTCGCGCGCACCGATTCGTCTCTTCGTCGTCGTGTCGCTTCTCTTGGCTTTCGGGTTCCTCCCTGCCGGTGCCGGCATTGGTGCGGCCACGCAACTCGCTACGGTCGCGGAGCCTGTAGCTGTTACGCAATCCGTTACACAACCCGTTATTGGCACACAGCCCGTTATCGTCACACAACCCTTTACTGTCACGCAGCCTGATACTGTCACGCGACCCAGCAGCCGGCATCGTTTGTTCTTGCGCATAGGCGCCAGTGATAAGGGCGAAGGTGACTACAGTGAACGCGATTCTTCTTCCCCTGAAACCGAGGGGGTAGATGGCACAGATGATTTCTCGACGGACGCCGCTGCTTCTGCAGCACCTGATTTCGAACCACTCAACTTCGACGCAATTGATTCCGGCGACAGCACTCAACCGTGGAGCGACAACAGCGACGGCAGCGACGGCAGCGGCGACGGCAACAGCGACGGCAGCAGCAGCGGCAGCCGGCTGGGCGACGGCGACGGCGACGAGATGGACGACTTTCCGCATTACGCCGTCTTCGGCTTCTTCGCGCTCTGCGCCACGCTCGTGCTGCTTCTTCCGCTCGCGCTCCGCCAGGTGCTCGCCAGCTCCGCGCACCTGGCAGCGACCGCCGCGCGCGACTACTCGGAGGCGTGCGCGGAGGTGCTGAACCACGCGCTCGTCGCGTACACCGCGGCGCAGGTGGCGCTCTTCACGACGCTCTTCCTCCCGCCCGCGCTCGTCTTCGACGTGCTCGCGCTGCTCCGCAACTCCTGCCGCCCCCGCCGCGCGGGGCACCTCAGCTACTTTATTCCGCCCTTCCTGCGCGCATTCGTCCGCCCGTGGCTCGCGCTGTTGTGCGGCGGGGTTCCCCGAGCCGTGGGGGGAGAAGGGGGAGGGGACGGGGAGAATGGGGAGGGGGGGGAAGGGGAAGGGGCGGAGGAAGGGATGGTGTTCCTCGGGCCGATGACGGCGGAGGAGCTGGCGGCGCTGCCGCAGGTGGTGTACGGTGGGGAGGGGTGCGGCGGAGACCAGTGGCAGCAGCAACAGCAGCAGCAGAAGGAGGAGGAGGATGAGGAGGGCGGGGCGGATTGTTTGACTGCTTGTACAGATGGTGATTGTACAGAGGGGCTGATCAAGAGGAACCTTCTGGGTAGGCCTGTGGGGTCTTCAAGCGAGGGCGGAGATAGACGGCTCGCACTGGGAGCAGCCGCGGAGAGAGGTGCGGCGGAGGTGGGAGCGGGGAGCGTGGCTCGCGAGGTCGAGGAGTGCGAAGGCAGTGGGTCGAGTGGCGAGGAGGGAGCAGCAGCAGCGTTGGAAGGAGGCGAGGGGGGAGAGCAGCAGCCGTTAGTGGCCGCTGCAGCAGCGGCGGTGCCTGTAGCGGTTGCGGCAAGGGCTGGGGCGACAGGAGGGGCAGCAGGGCGGTGTGAAGTGGAGGAAGAGGAGGGAGAGGAGCGGTCCCAGCTGCTGGTTCAGGGCAGCAGAGAAGGGGGAGATTGGCGGGTGGAGGTGGATGGGGAGGGCGAGGGGGAAAGAGATGCGCATGGGGATAGAAGTGGGGATGCGGGTAGGGGTTTGGATTGCAGTGGAGGATCAGGGAGAAAGGTTGTGAGGACAGAGAGCGGGGAGGAAGACCCGTGCACCATCTGCTTCGATGGCTTTAAGAGGGGCGACCAACTGAGAGTACTGCCGTGCCAACACAGTGAGTGGCGGGCTGGCATGCCAATGCACATGCGCGCTCACACATACACACGCGCACGCGCGCGCGCACACACAACGCACGCACGCACACATGCGCACGTGTGCACACGCATATGCACACACACAGACACGCACACGGGCACGCACGTGCACACACCAACGCTCACGCACCCGCAAGCGCGCACACATACACATGCACACGCACGCACGCACACATACACATGCACACGCACGCACGCACACATACACATGCACACGCACGCACGCACACATACACATGCACACGCACGCACGCACACATACACATGCACACGCACGCACGCACACATACACATGCACACGCACGCACGCACACATGCGCATACACGTTCGCGCGCACACGCACAAGCACACACAGGACACTTGCTCACACTACCTCTGCCGTTCCTCTCCCCCTACCACATGTCCACCGTGTACGGCACGGCAGGGTTCGTCACAGTATGCATCGACGAGTGGCTCGTGCAGAAGCCCCTCTGCCCGCTCTGCAAGCGCACACGCGCTCCCATTTGCTTACCGTACCTCCGCCGTGCCTCTCCCCCCAATGGCATACCCGTGCATGGCTCCACACGGCATGCATAGATGAGTGGCTCATGAAGAAGCCCCTTTTCCTGCAAATACATACACCCACACACACTCACACTACTTCCCCTCCCCCCCATGTGTCCACTTGGCAGGGTTCCACACGGCGTGCATCGACGAGTGGCTCATGAAGAAGCCCCTCTGCCCGCTCTGCAAGCGCTGCGCCCGCCCGCCGCCGCCCGCAATCATGAGGACTCACCGCATGTTCCTCTGGCTGCTGTCACACACCGCCGCGTGGGACTTTTCTCAAGCAGGCGGGCTCATGGGCATGCTGTGGATGGCCACTCTGCTGCTCTATGTCATGCACGTGGGGTCGGATTAGCATTGGTCGGTGTATAGTAAGAGTGGCTCACTTGACTGAACCTTATGGTGCCATCCATGTAGTGTATAGTTTATGGTGCTATGTTTATCAGATGGTGCCATAACCATAAGCATTTCAGAACAGTTCCCATCCCCAGACACTGCCGCCAGGGCTCACTTCATCAGAAATTTTTGGTCTGAATTTCTGGATTCTGAACACATTTTTACTGGTTCATCTGATGCCGTAGACATGCTGTTTAGTTTCGTCTGATTTTTTTAGAGAAGCTTTTTCTATTCATCTGATTTCTCAGACAGCCTTATACAGTTCGTCTGAGATTGCAGATATCGAGTATCTTTCGACTGAAGGCAAAACTCTCGAAACAAGCAGACTATAAGATTCGAACTGGAAACCTCAGTTTACATTGTTCCATATTCTACTGACTGGACCATCAGAGCTGTTCATCACTATAACTTGGTCATTTATATTCATATTTGATAGTACATTGCTTGCTAGCTTTATATCTTCTCAGACAAGTATTTAGGATTCGTCTGGAAAGCTAGACAAGGTTACAGTTTTCGTCTGACAATCAGACAAGGAGCCAGGACCCGGTCTTGACATCAGACGGGTCATTTTACTAAAGTTAGCCCTGACTGCCGCCATGTGTAGAACCCTATTACCCTTTTGCTGGTTACCTAGAAAGTGTGGATGTCATGGGTACATATGATAATGGAGACCACTGAATGGGTCTTGCTGAGCTGAGACCATCTGGACTTTCCTGCTGGTGTTGTTTATACGGAAAATATAAAATAGGCCTACCCTATCTTCAAATTACGTATCGTGATTTATAGAAGGAAAGCTCTGGCGAACTCTGTTATGTCGCAACCTGTAACTTTCAAATGATTTCGCGGGAGGTGCAGTGGTACCCTGAAGATACCTGGCGGGCACCAGCTGGCTTTAGAAACTTCTCGTGTCGCACATCGCAGGACTCCTGATGCGGCACTCTGTAAAGCGTTCTCGTCGTTCTTGAACGTTTGAGAAAGGTGCTATCGGCGCTCCTGGCGGTTTTCCTCGGGGCGTGACATGCGGCAGCAAACTGGCTGTGGGCTTCACCAGCGATTTCAACCCTTTCCCTTCCCTGTTGCTGCAGGCATCGTATAACCAGGCGATTTGGGATATGGAATCGGAGTGTCGAGCCGCATTGGCAAGAACCAGACCTGAAGCCTGGGACTCGGCAGATTGCAATCATCTGGGCGAGCAACCTGATATTATCAGCGTGTGCCAGCGTGTGCCCGCCAAAAAGTAGCGCGTGCCACGCCGAGTACTAACACCGCGCGTACCACGCCGAATAGCGCGGAGTAGCAACGATGTTTTCGGAAAACAGCCTCCGTACGATGGTGGTATCGAGAAACAGCCAGCCCAGCTGACTATAAAAACATCCAGCCTTCAGCAGGTCATCTCATCGCTTTCATTCGTTTGAGCATTCGAAACATCCGACAAACCCAGCTACCACACTACTATTTCCTCGCAAAGCAGCCATGGCCCGCACGCTGCGACCCGCGCTCGTCCTCGCTGGTGAGTGTCTGATAACCTCACCGCCGTTACTCTGCCCTTGCCGTGTTGCTCTCTTGTTGCCGACCGAGCCGTTGCTCGCCCGCTCTCGGTTTTTTTGTAGATCCGTGATTTTGTTCGAAGATTCAGAGTCTGCCTTTGTCGTTATCCCGCGTGCAGTGCTGCTCTCGCTCGCCTGCAGCGCCATCGCTGCCGCCATCTGCTCCAGTTTGGAACCGTCATCACCACCTCCATCAAACGCTGTACGGCTCCCTACCGTGCTATACCACTCCTATCGTGCTCTGTTGTGCTGTGCGACTCCCTATCGTGCTGTGCGACTCCCTGTGTTGGACGCCGCCTTGTCTTGTTGCAAGCCTCACGCACTGTCATCTGCAAGATTGCTCTAACGGTTCTAAGCACGATATGGTCACTGGATCTCGTGCTCGCAGCACCTTTTCATGCACGGGCCAGCACCTTCTCATGCACCCAGCACCTTCTCATGCACCCAGCACCTCTCATGCTTCCTCGTACGTCTTCTCCACTGGTGCTCCGTTCCTGCCCATCCTCCCTCTTGTCGTGCAGACGAAGCGTGGTCAACAGTGTCCTCGAGCACTGCTGTCCTCACTGCCTCGCCTTCCCTGCGTGCTGACGTGTAAGCGCCACATGCCATGTGCTGATGATTTACATGTCGTGGGATCTATTCAGCGCTTGAACACAATGAATGTGCAGACGAGGCTCTACACCAGTAAAATGTCAGCTAAAGCTATACTAGTAGCCGCAAAGCCGATCCTTTTCATGCAAGGAGTGCTTTTCCCATTGTGCGCTCACATAATCTGCCTGTCTCCTTCCTACGGCGCTATCCAACCCCCCTCCTTGCTCTCTCCTCTGCAGAACGCCTGTTTCCCAAACGCTTTCCTTCACCTTCAGGGTTGCGGGCATAGCCGTGGGCAAGACACCAAGTGTCAGCACTTCCGGGTTCTACACAAGCGACACCAGGCCCCACGTTATCAGGGCAAAACATCCTGATTACCCTGAAATCAGGATGCAATTTTGAATTTGCCCTGTAATTTCAGAATGGTGTCAATTTTAACCCTGTGGTCTCAGGATGTTGTTATATGAAATGCCCTGGACATTCAGGATGGCCGTGGTGTTCTTCCCTGAATCATCAGGATGAATGTCGAGGCTTGCCTTGACGCGCTTTTATAGGGGTGGGGTTTGGGGAAGGGGAGGGGGGGGGGGGGGGGGGAGGGAAGGGAGGGTGTTCTCGTTCCCAGGGATTTTTTTTTCCCCGTGGAAATTTTTTCCCTTGTCTTTTTCCAGCCTTCGCACGATTCCTTTGACAGTTCCGAACCCCCCCAGCGCACCAGCCAAACCCATCAGATTGGGAACAGGTTGGGCAAGGCAACACTCTTGTCTCCTTGTGTGCCATGCATGCACCCTTCCAGTGTTGCTGTTAGAATAGCGGTGGTGTTCTCTGGTCTAGTCCGATGGTGTTCTCTACCCTGGATTAGCGTATTATCCCGGACATACCACCCTAGGGTGCTATGATAACTACACAAAAAAAAGGGGGGGGGTCTTGTCATCAGAAAAAGCTACATTGCACCCAGGTCGTTACATAATGTATATTTTTTTTAGAGCACAAAAGGTTGAGAACAAAATGTACATGTTTGACGCGGTGGTAGATTGTTGGTTGGGTGCGCAAAACCGAGGACTGGGCGATAACGTTAGTCTCGTGGGTTAGCTGCCACATTGCAAGCTCCAACAAGGCCCACAGTCAGGCCCTGATTGGAAAGAAAACACACCCCCTCGTCGCTCGACGAGGATTCATGCAGTCACAAAGGCGGAGCGCCCGCAACAGCCTCAGCTGCCTCGCTGAGGCGGTCACATCCTTGTACTGAGAAGGAGTTCATCCTTCTTTCTGTGCAGCGGCTCCATTCCACGAACTCGAGCAATGCTCGGCAGAGTGTGCTAACACCAACTGCCTCCTCGATCCCTTTCCTAGCATAAATTCAGGGATTCCATGGCCTGTGACACCAACGTTCACTAGGCTTAGATGGCTACCTCTCCAGACTCCAGTAGCACAGTGGTTAGGCGGCAGCGGCCTTCCGTCACCCAGTCACCCGCTGCTGCGGGCACACGGCGTTCGCCCCGGCCCGTCCTGCTGCAGCCGTCACCCCCCGTGAGTCGCGCCACCAACGATGAACCGAGCAGCAGCGCGACCCGTCCTATGCCGGCGCTGCCGAAGGTGAAGATTCCTTCCTTCCCGGAACAAACACGTCCCCAGGGACCTCCGAAGCGCAACGCGGATGCCGACGCTCCTTCCCCACGTCATCGCATGACGAAACGTGTTCGTCATGCGTACACCGCCAAGGAGAAGCTCCACTGGCTGAAACTGCAGGAATCGCAGCCGGACCTGTCAAATCGAGCTTTGGCCAAGCTGGCGAAGGTGCAGCCCTGCCAGATCCGCGAGTGGAAGCGGATGAAGGAGCGTCTGGAGGTCGCCTCTGGATGCCGCCGTCGCCTCATGGGAGCTGGGCGCCGCGCGAAGTACCCGTTCATGGAACGAGCCGTGTATCGGCAGTTTCTTAAGCACCGCGCTAAGGGACTCGCGTCACCGCTATGGCACTTGGTTTGAAGACATCGGGATCAACACGAGGACGCGTGCAGGTGAGATGGTCCCTTGCTTTCCGATCGTGTTGTTATGCATGCGTGCCTGTGTATTTCATCAAACAACTCGGTGCGTGCCTTGCCCATCCCTCAGGCAATCTGCAAAAGCCTCCCGCGGAGACGGTTCTGAAGTGGATCGACGAGTCCTGGCAGGAGGTCCCAGAGGAGCTGATCAGGAAGTCCTTTGTCACCTGCGGGATTTCCACCAAGCTCGACGGCAGCGAAGACCACCTCGTCCTCGCACACCTGCGGGACAAGGGTGAGGTGGAAGTGCTGGAGGATGTGAACGAGATGGTTGAAGACGAGGTCATCCCCAACCCCTACTTCGAGGAGGCCCGCGTGCCGGCCGAGGTGCTGCAGGCGGACGTCGACGCCATGCATGTGGAGCAGGACGAAGAGGATGCGGATGCGGAAGACGGAGATGGGGAAGGGTACGGGGCTGGAGAAGATGGGGATGCAGATGAGTGGAGCGAGGCCGGCTCTGACTGGTGGCTCCCCGACCGCTTTGACGGAGAGGAGGTTGAGGAATGGAATGCTGGGGACGAGGAGTAGGAGGAAGGGCTTCTTCTGTGTAGGTAGATAGCATTCTGTCTGGATGGTAGTAGGCCCCATCTGAATGAAGGAAAGACTGTGTGATGGGAGTGATATCGCTGTATAGCGTCAGACGTAGCTTGTTTGTGCTGATGTTAACATGTAGATGGTTAATCATTGGAAACCCAGTGCTATTTAGGCAAAAACTGCAATATTACCCGTACATAACACCCCCCCCCCGGGTGCTATACCGGATCGCCCCAAAAGGGGGGTATAGTAGAAATGAGGCCCGCTATAGCACCCCCCCCGCACAAGCCACCCGGGGGGTGCTCTATTTCGGCGGGTGGTATGTCCGGGGTAATACGGTAGTTGGCAAGAGTAGGACAATGCTGGTGCCACTAGAAATGAATATTTTTAAAAGTGTAACGCTTTTCAAAATTTCGTATTTTGAAAGCGAAGCAGTCTGTGATGTAGGAATGGGCAGCGACGAACCACGCTATACGCCCGTTTTGGAGTACAAAACGTGGGCTGGAGGTCATTTCCCTCCACCCACGTCTCTCATTTTCAAACGGTTTAGCCGATTTTCGTCTCCCACACTCAAGCTGGCGAGGAACAAGTCTCTTCCTCGCTTTCAATCCCCGTCGACTTTACTCTCTGACATTTTCGCGCACAACGCAACAACTATGGCACTTAACGGCGGGGAGTCTAATACCGCTACGGCCCCCACTCGACCCGAGTCCGCAAGAAACGCACGCGAAATTGCGGGCGATCGCCCAAACAAGCGCCGGGCAGAAGACGGGGAAATTTCCCCGACTGGCGTCGACGTCCTGCTGGGCGCGACCGAGGCACATGCTGCTGGTGTCGAGGCACACGCCCCTGGTGTGCCTCGAGCCCCTGTGGCCCCTGACGCGCCGGCCACGACAGAAGGCGCCAAATCGGCACCAACCAGCGCGGCTGGCACCCCGCGTCCGCGCCAGCGACGCAGGCCTGTGGGACCTGACGCACCTGTGGGGCCTCACGCGCAAGTGGCGACGGGCGCGCAAGTGGCGCCATCATTCACTGCAGCCCAACTGCAGCAGCTGCTGACCCTGTTACAGCAGCAGACCCCTGCTGTTACTGAAGAAATCGCTACACCAAACGCAACTTCGGTTTCTGCTAAAAGCGAAAAGGCGAAAACGGAGTCCGTGCAGCGCGCTCGCACGACAAAAACCGGGAGGGGCGAAGACACACGCGCCTTTGCGACCCCAGTCACGAACAACCCCACCGACAGCGACAATGAAGAAGACGAAGACGGTGAGGCTCATGCTATAAATGTCGCTTTTGCATCCGATGAGCAACTCCCTCCGCTCCCTTCTCCCAACCCCACCATCACCGCCGCCTCGTTCAAGAACGCCGCCGTGCGCGAGCAAGCCGAGGTCCTAGAACACCTGCGGGCGTACTTGAAGCATGCAGAGCACAAGGTGCGGCACAACGAGCCGGCAAGCGCCCTCGAATTCCTTGGCGAAGCCTTCACGCTCATCACCAACCGCTTCAAGTTACTTCACGTCGCCGACTACACCAACTTCCGCACCGCAAACAGGTTCAAGCTCTATGAAGACAAGAGCGTCTTCACTTCTCGCCCGTTCAAGCAGGCCGTCGCGGACGTAGCGGCCATGGAGCGCGCCCAAGGAAATTTCAATCGCGCCCCACGCGGCGGAGGGCGTGGGCCCATGGCCTTTGGGAACAAGCGTGGCCCGCCAAGTGATGGCAACGGCAGGAGCTTTCGAGGCTCTTGCTACCGCTGCGGGCAGCCGGGCCACATGGCCAACGCTTGCCCTGAAAATGGGGTGGGAGCCCAAGGGCCCGCACTGGTGGTGTGAACTCCCGAAAGGGCAATCACCCGGTGTCGAGGGGCATGATCAAGGTAGCACTAGGGAGTGCAAGGCCGCTGGCCGTTTTTCCCGTAGGGGATGGTAGAATGGCCGCGGGCCAACCCCAAGGCAAGGGGATAGGACTAGGAGTCCTAGAGTAAAGCATTTAATGAAATGGTGGATTTCTTGTGTGCATTATTGAGGGATCGGAATGCATAATGGGCTATGTTTGTGAAAACGGTGATTTTGTGTGACTTACTAAGGCCCTTGGTTTCAACGTGTGTAAGAAGCTGCAACGGGAGCAGCCACAAGCCTCTGAAAAAAAAAAACAAAACAAAAACAAAAAGAGGGGGAAGGAAGGAAGAGCGCGAGTGAGATGTTCACCGTGATGAGCTCACCGAGCAAAAGAAGGAGCTGCCCTACGAGCACCACATGTTAGGCACAGGGCGGAACACCCAAGTGCATGCAATCAGGCAAAAGGACTCATGAAGAAAAAAAAAAAAAAAAAAAAATCAACAACAACGAGAGAGAAAGGAAGAGAGAGAAAAAGAAAGAGCGAGAGTGAGAACCTCACGGGGGACCTACATTGCCGCATACCTTGCTTAACGAAGCATGTCCCATGCTGCCCCGAACCCCATGGTCCACAGATACACCGGGTATCGGCTCGATGGTTGAGTATGACCCGTACGAGATCGCGATCACCGACAAGCTCGTCACGACCATGCGCGGACGCCTGCGCGCAGCATTTCCTTGGTGGAGCTCATGGTGCGAGAGTAGCTTCATACTCTCGGTGGTTTTAAATGGCTATTGGATGCCATGGAAGCATGGGCCCCCCACGCCGTTTCAGAAAGACAACCACGCGGGAGCACTAATCCACTCAAAGTTCACCAAGCAGGCCATAATCGAGCTCCTTGAGAGTGGTGCGGCCATTATCGCCCCCGGATCCCAACAGCTCTGCATCAGTCCACTAAATGTGGTGGTTCAAAGAGACAAGTGCCGACTGATTCTTGACCTCAGAAGAGTAAACCAAAGTCTGAGCATCCCCAAATTCAAGTACGAGGGATTGAAGCGGGTGGCGGAGCTCGTCAGCATAGGCGATTGGATGTTCGCTGTCGACCTCAAATCAGGATACCACCACGTCGACATCCATCCGTCATGCTGGAAGTACCTGGGATTCCAATTCGACGGGCGCTCATACGTCTTTCGTTCCCTCCCTTTCGGCCTCGCGACGGCCCCATTTGTATTCACGCAACTTATCAAGCAGCTCGCCCGCCGCTGGCGGGCCCTCGGGGTAGTCATCCCGTACGTTGACGACATCATATTTTTGTGTCACACGGAAGCAGAGGCTCGAACTACGTGTCAGATGGTGGTGGAGGACCTCAACAAGGCGGGGCTAGTCATTAATTCTAAGAAGTCGCATCTGCAACCCACCCAGCAGCTGCGCTTTCTGGGTGTCGAACTGGATACTAAGCACGGCCAGTTCTCCATTGGTCCCGAGCGGCATACATCGTTACGCTCGACCATTCAAGAACTTTGCATGGCAGGCAGAGCCAAGCGCAAGGTCCCGATCCGCCATGTAGCGAGGGTCACTGGCATGCTCGCTTCGATGTCACTTGCCATCGGCGCAACTGCGCGGGCATTTAGCCAGAACCTGCTGCAGACCATTCAGGAGGCCGCTTCATGGAACAGCAAGGTGCCATTAGTCCCCGCCGTAATCGAGGAACTCGAGTTTTGGCTGCAAGAATTCGACAACTTCAATGGCGCCTCCTTCCACGTCCCGAGCAGCTATGACGCAGTGATCCATGTGGACGCCAGCGCACACAGTTGGGGAGCCACACTCGACACGTTCCCGGGAGGGCGAACCGAGGCGAATGCAGCAATGCCCGAGCGTCTCACAAGGACCTCGAGCACGCAACGAGAAATGGAAGGAGTTCTATGGGCTCTCCAAACGTTCGCGGGAGGGATCCACAACCGACACGTCCTAGCCAGAACTGACAACCAAGGCGTATTCTTCATTCTTCGCAAAGGCGGCTCTCGAAGCCCTAGTCTCACCACAACATGCAGAGCCATTATTCAAACGTGCATGGCCTCGAGGATTCGCCTGACGGTCGAATGGATCCCACGCGAGCTCAACACACGAGCGGACGAACTCTCCAAGACGATCGATCGAGATGACTACTCAATTAAAGCACCGTGGTTCCGCCTCATTGAGCGGCGTTTGGGACCGCACTCCATCGATCTATTCGCCAATGCAAGCAACACACAGTTAGCCCGCTTCTGTTCCAAAACACCTCACCCGGACGCAGAGGCTACCGACGCCTTCGCAATATCATGGAACGCTGAGCACGGTTATGCTTTCCCACCACCACACCTCATCCCAGCAGTGCTTCACCACGCCCAACGGACGCGAGCATCGCTCACGCTCGTAGTGCCTCATTGGCCAGGGGCAAGCTGGTGGCCGTTGCTACAAACCACCCCACCGAAGTGGGCCCCTTGCATTCGCGCTCACATCCACCTCAACCATGGGAGTCAGTGCCTCACCGCGGGCACCCACACTTGTGCCTTCTCTGGCGAAGGAATGCCTCATAGCCCTATTCTCGCTTTACGAGTGTCGTTCGCTACCTGACCTCTCACGAACCTGGTGCAGGATTACTTGAGAGGCTCAAGCAAGAATTGCTCCGTATAACTGCGCAAACACGGGCCGACTCTACGATTCGCACCTACGAGCCGTACTGGGCCAAGTTCTGCGCGTTCTGCAAACGAGTCAAGCTACAGTTTCTGCCATGCACAGACATGACGCTCGCGTTATACCTGGTCCATGCGATTCAACAAAAAGCCACAGTATCAGTGATACAACTGACATGCTCGACAGTCCGCTTCGCACATCGGATGATCGGGGCCCCGTGCCCATCAACTGGGCCGTTCACATCCCAAGTGCGGGAATTCGCCAAGCGACATTGCCCGCGCCCCCGACGACTCAAAGAGCCCATCTCTTTGCACCAAGTCCACGAAATGGCGTCGGAATACCTGGAGTCAAACAACCCCGGCGAGTTCCAGAAGGGACTCATCCCAATCCTAATGTACGCCGGCCTTCTACGCTACTCGGACCTCGTCGAAATTAAGTGGCACGACATCCAGTTCGAGGAAGACGCCATGTGGCTCTTTATTCCC